AGACGCTGAGCAAGCTTCTTCCTGGAAGATTGTAAATACAGCTCCCATTTTAGTGAGTAAATACAGCTCCCATTTAGTGAGCAATATGGTAAGCAAACTGTGTGCAGCTGCTCTGAGATTCGTGAGAGCATAAGTCATCTCTTCTGGGCTGTGACCCCAGTGCATACATAATATGTGCCCTCTCCTAACCTTGGAGACACTACTGCATTTGGACTTTCCCCCTATTGTTTCCCAGGAGATATATACACTTTAGTTTTTCTTTTTCTCTACCATACATCACACCTGGGCCCCATATACTCCGTGTTCTGGGTATATCTTTGGCCTCTTCCCATTTCCACATTACATTCTTGGTTTCTTCCAGCCCTCCCCCGATCCCAGCACGTACTTGGCCTCTTCCAGTTCCTCTGTGCGCTGAATAGCGTCTGTCTCATATTTGGTTCTCCACTGGGCAACTTCACTGTTGGCCTTGGACAGGGTGCGTTGCAGCTCACCCTTGGCTTCCTGCTCCTCCTCATATTGCTCCCGGAGCAAGTCGCAGTCATGGCGAGCAGACTGCAAGGCGTGGGCCAGTGCGTTCTTAGCCTGGAGATACAACAGTGTTAGTACAGTGTTGCTAAATATCCTGGGAATCCTTCTGACAGTATCCTCCATCAATTGATGGAGTGGTAGAAACCCCATTGTATGGAGGCATTTAAAATTGATCTGGATAAATATAAATACACCGCAGGGAAATTACCTGCATTGTAAGGGGCTAAGCTAAGTGACTTAATAAGTCATTTCCCTGTCTAGTTTCCAAACTGGTATGATTTTATACGAGGTTAAAGCATCCTTTGTAGACGATGAATCAGGCATGAAATGAAACCTCCAACCTTCAGATGAAGACAATACAGTTTGAAAAATCCTCACCTTTATCTCCTCCTCTAGATGCCTCTTCAGTTCCTCAATCTGTTGGGTAAAAGCCTGCTTGCCTCTTGAGAGCTGAGAAACTAATGTATCTTTTTCCTCTACCTGGCGTGAAAATTCACCTGAAAAGGACAAAGTGAAATAGGAGGGATTTAATGAGACTCAACTGAAAATGATGGAAACAATGTTTATTCACAAATGAGACAAAATCATATGTTAGATGTAAGGAACTCCCGTTACATCATCCAGTCTATCTCTCTGCCAATCTCTTGTTCCCTACAGTACATTTTCTAGTAGCTTTCTCTAGTCCACTTTTCTAGTTCCATATAATTTTATAGACTCATCACCTGTGGCAGTCTAATACATCTCGCTGCCAGGAAGGTTTTCCTAATATTGACTCTAAATTTTCTTTTCTTAGTTTCATTCCAGTAGTCCTACTTATACCCTTGGTGCATCATCCACAGCCTCAGAAACCACCCTGACATTATCATCAAAGAGGCTG